ATCAAAAAACGAGGTCACCTTCACGCATTTGCAGCCTGCCGCGCCCTGGTCTTGAGGAAGCCCTGCAATTTTGCGAAGCGCCTATTGGGTCACTGGGTATTGGGCCAAGTGAGCACAACGTGAGGTTTTTGACTACGCTGTCATTTAAGTATCCCCTGATGGTCGACATCCGTGTCGCGTCTTGTGCAAGGCCTCAACTCCGAAGTTGTTTCCTAGGACACTTGGGGAATGTTTGAAGGCACTGGATGTCAGTTAGCGAATGTGCTAAACTTGGCACTGCATTCAGTAATGGGCAGTGAACTCTTACGTGGAAGGTTGTGCGACGCAGTTAAAACGGTAAATGCTTTTAAAGAAACCCTGCATCATCTGTGACCTGACTGGTCCTAGCATTTACCGCAACGCTGTATTAGCCAGTGTTGGTTTAGGTCGTGGTTTTCCTTGGTGCCTTGACAGCCAGAAAGTCTTTGGAATACCTCGCACCTGGTCTATCCCTAGGAACTCGTCCAGGCTAGAATTCCAGCCCGAATCCATTCAGGCTGTATTTCTGCCCGAACATGGTTTTCACGCCCGACCCTGGAATTCTCGCCCGAATGTGTTTTTGCTCATTATCGATATATTCTGCGAGTGATGAATAGATGCAATGCAACTCGAGTCTACAAAATCCACCCGATCACACGAATTCTCGCCTCACACAAATTCACGCCCGAATCACACCGATTCTCGCACGAATTGAAATGTCGGACATTGCTTTAAAACTGCAGATTTGCAGGTTAGTTGCTTTGCAAGTAATTTGCAACATTTGCCTGAATAACGATTTCTGCCCGCAGGCAGTTTTTAAGGACAAACCCTGGTTCAGGCAGATTTTCTTGAACAGGCAGAAATTTGAGCCTGAATGAGGGTCCAGGTCTGCAACTCGTCAAGCTTTGCGTTGGAGTCTGATTGGGTGCCGCTGCTAGGTCAGGGTTGTGGGTTATTTACTCAAGAAGAAGTGCAAAGGGCAGCCCTTTACCAAAGGTTGGGGAAGCGTTTGCTGGACCAGTGTAGTGCAGGTCTGTTGTGTCAAAAGTTTGACTGCATCAGTTTTGACAAAGCAACAGGCAAGGTACTAGTTGACCTGGGCTACAGCCCTTCGCAACTTTCGATTTTCCCAGTCGACTGGAGTACCTTTTTTTGCAGCCAGGTTGAATGTGCAGGTCAGGTGGAATTGGTTTCAAGTTCAGTGCTGGAGTGTGGTGCAGTCAGTAGGCATGTGCTTTGGATTCTCGATTTCCTGTTGGCCATCTAATGAAAGTGAGACTGGAATGATACTGTAAGTTCATGTGCAACACACTGTGTGGGAATGCCGAGCCACATGGCTCGTTCTTTTTCAGAACTCAATTGGAGAGGCCCCGTCCAGATTCCGAGAAGGTGTGGATTGGCCACTTCAGGCCAATGGATGCTCACGGGTTATGGGAGCTGGCTACTTCAGCGTCAAATGCCATACTCTTTGGCAACTCGGGTTCAAATGTCGTTGACTCCGTTAAGAATTGCTGGTGACGACTTTCATCGCTCCGTTGCCGGTGACCTGGTTCATATCCCTTTGAGAGTGTGTCCTGTTTGCCCTGGTCAATCTTTCCGAGAGCTCCGGCAGTTGCTCAGGTGTTACCATAGTATACGTATGCCATACATAGACATGCAATGAAGGCATCAAGTGTGACGAACACACACGCACACGAAACTCACTCATACGACGCGAACTCTTGAAATAGAACATGCTCTCAGCTCTCATCATATTTGCTGGGAAATATCGCAGCGTTTCTGACGTGCGGGCACGCCGAAGCTGCAAATGGAAAACAGTGTCGGGAAATGGGTGCAAAAGAAGAAACTACATTGAGTCTGGATGGCAGCTTTGGTCGAGCACGGCAAGTATTTTAGAACCGGGACATCGACAACATTTGCTCAGACTGCCTAAGCTGCTCAGCTTTGACAAGGAAGCACTGACCTCCTTACAACACCTTTTCGGAGAACACCGGCCCCCACCCATCCATTGTGGAATTCGGGCTTCGACAAGTCTTTTTCGCCCAACGCTGCATTAGAGCTTTTCAGGGTGGTAAGCCATGAGAATAAGGCAACCATTTACAAAGGCATGTCACGGATTCTGCTTTTTGGGTATGTGGCAAGTGTTGCACCGGCCTGTTCAGCAGCGTTAACCCGGTAACACCATATGTGCCAGATCCGTCTCCT